GGCAGGGATTAGGGGTTGGGGAGGGAGTGGCGCATGCCTGGTTAGCTTGGTTAGAAAAGCATGCAACTCTTGATCTTGGAGTTGTGAGTTTGAGCCCCACATTAGGTGTAAAGTTTACTAATAAATAAACAAACAAACTTGGAAAAAAAAAACACATAAATCTCAAAATCCTCAGGTGGGCTGGTCTCCCAGAGTGAATGGATACATCCCCAAAGCCAACCATGGTGAGGACAAGGTTTTCTTGGATGCTTTCATCTATTCTAACATAAGTGGTTTATTTTCCCATATGCCTGTCACTTTTTTTTTTAAATTTTTTAATGTTTATTTATTTTTGAGAGAGACCGAGCACAAGAGTGGGAGGTTGCAGAGAGAGGGAGACACAGAATCCGAAGCAGGCTCCAGGCTCCAAGCTATCAGCACACAGCCTGACACGGGGCTCGAACTCACGAACTGTGAGATCATGACCTGAGCCGAAGTCTGATGCTCAACCAACTGAGCTACCCAGGTGCCCCTGCCTGTCACTTTTAATGTATCAGCAGCCCAGTCCAGTCCCTCTTCTCCTTCCACATGGAACCAGTTGCTTGGCTGTTTCCTTATGACTCCAGTTCCTCCATCCTTTAATGCAAACTTCATACCTTTATCCACTCATTCAGTCAACAGAGAACTATGATGGTTGCATGTCCTTCTAGTTGACTTCTCACTATTGTTCGTACACCCCCCTTCTACCTGACAGGTCTCTATCAGGGGATGGTTCTCCTAGGTCTTTAGTCACATCTCACATCCCCAAACCTCTGCTTTCCCTGGAATGTCCTCTCTTTTCCACCTATCTACGCTCTACTTACCCTATCTTTTCCATGAAGTCTTCCAAAATTATTCAGCCCAAGTGATCTCTCTAAATTTATAGCTCTTATGCAGAATGAGTACCATGATTTAGCTTTTTTTCTATAGGTCTTATGTTGTTCTGTCCTTGTTTTAGGAGTTAGACTTGTCCAGGTGACTCCTACTTACCTCAACTGGGAAGTCATCCAGATCCCTGTCTGATCTATATGCTATTCCTCTGGGCCCCCATAGCTCTATGCTTACTGCTAACATAACTGTTATGTTGCCACTACGCTATGATCATTATTGACTTGAAGACAGCTTAAGTCAGTTGGCTTCTAAAAAGTGCCTGGCACCTAAAAAACAAAAAGGAAATTGCCAAAACCACAGTAAGGCCGATTTCTGACAGCCTGGATAAAAGAAAGGGCTCTCCCATTAAAATACAAGTAGATCCTGGATACATTACAACAAACATAATGGTCAGCATATTGCTGGGCTCATTAGAAAGTAAGAGAAATCACTAAAGGAAGAAAAAAATAACATTAAGCTGAAACCTGTATGAAGGAGTGAACAGTATTGTGAACAGAGGCTAAACCCCGGGCCTAGCCAAGGAAGGGGAGAAAACCTGGGACTCCTGAAAGAAACTGAGCCCCATGAAGGGGCTAACACAGTCCCAGGTCAGGAGCATCATTTGGCTCCTGGCAGAAGCAAATGCAAATCTCTGCAGGAAAGTGCCCCCAATTTAGGCTCTCTGGATTCCCATAGATTAAGTTTAACAAAATTTGAGCTCAAAACCCCAAGACTGAAAATATACAAAGAAACAAGCTACCACAGGCAAGAGTGAGCAGAAAACAAAACAGATTTAGATATCCAGGAAAGTTACAGAAATACAAAATAACAAACCCAACGAGTTTCAAAAATTTAGCATCATAGGGTACCACATCTCTGAGTACAAATGATTAAAGTTGAAAGTGGGTATCAAAATGGTAAAACTTTAAATATTCAGATGTTTGGAAGTTCAAAAAATTGTTCTAAATAATTCATAAATCACAAATCATAAAGGTAATTTAAATATCTTAGGACTAAGTTATAATTAAAGTAATTTACAACAGAAAAATTGGGGGGATGTAGGGAAACAGGTCCTTAAAAACTTACAGTAGAAAAAAATAACAGCTTGAAAATTAGGTTAGGTGTCAAAATTAAGATGTTATGGAAGAACATAAAATTAAATCTAAAGAAAGCAGAAAAAAGGAAATACTATAGATAATATCCATAATTAATGAAATGGAAAACAATACATAAGGGAGAGGATCAACAAAACCAAAAGTAGTAGCTGAATAAGTAAAATAACAAATTTCTGGTGCAAAAGAAGGTAAAAGTAAATAGTAGAAATGAAAAACAAAGTACATGACTACCCAGAGAGCACAGGGGGGAAAAAAAAAGGAAAAATTTTAATTAAAAAAAAAAGACATGAAATTACAAAATCCTAAAAAAAACACTTAACCTAAATTGACTCAACAAAAAATAGAAAGTCCAATCAATGGTTAAAATTTTTCCCAAAAAGGAATGCCAGGCAAAAATGGTTCAACAGTTGAGTTTTACTGATCTGATGTCAACTCTTCCAGAGAATGAGAGGGAACAGTTCCCAACTCAGAGGATGCACAGATCAAATGAACCATCTTAGAAACCTTTTTTTCGAAATCTTACTTAAAAAAAAAAGGCACTAACAGGTACAAGAATGTTCATAGCAACACTGTTTGTAATAGCAAAAAAATGGAAACAACCCAAATATCCAGGAATAGGTGAATGTGTAGAATACTCTACAGGTGAAAAATGAGCATTATAGCTACTTACAACATAGATGAATCTTAAAAATAGTGTTAGGTGAAAAACTGCAGGGGACTATTAGAGTACAAAATTTTTGTAAAGCTAAAAAAGCAAAACTGAATATTTTAAAAGAATATTATATGTATATGGTTAAATATAGAGATACACATATATTTGTGTGTGTGTGTGTATGTAGGTAACTAATAAACACAAAGTTAAGGACAGTGGTTATTGTCTGGGGAGAGGCAGCAGAATAGGCCAGGGTAGGAACACAAGAAACTCAACGGTATTTCTAATGTTTTAATGCATAATTTGAGTGATGGGTCAAAGGTATTCACTTAATTATGTTTCATAATTTATTCATGTTAAATATATTCTTTATATATATCAAATATTACATATTATAATTTTAAAAAATATGCTGTGGTGGAAATGAAGTCTCCCTGAAAGAAAATTTATTTCCTGGGCAGAACCAGATTCCCTGACAGAAGCTACCCTACGCAGAAGACAAAGTAGGTCCTCAGTAAATATTGGTTTACTGCTTTTCCAAAGGAGAACATAAGGTCTGGGTTCCCTTCCTATTGGTGCTGATCTGCAGAGCTACCTCCTTCCACACACCTAGCCTAAACCCCACAATCCTGGCTAAGTCCTGACACATGTATGACAAGAGACTGACACCTGGTGGATACAGAATGGATTTAATAAAATGGCTAAGAAGTTCATCTTTCACTCCACTTGGTGAAAGCTGGCAGTAGGGTCGGGAAAGCAGAATGAGTAGGGAAGCAGAATGAGGAAAAAACAAACATTCAGAAACAGGAAAGGGAAGGATCTCCATCTCTGAAATGTAGGAAGTATCATCTAAATGAGACCAAAGAGAGTCCTTAAAGGAGAGGGACTTCCCTCTCATTCCTTCTGAGCCTACCAGAGGAAAGAGACTATTATTATAGCTGCAGTAAGGAAAATGCAAGACAGGGAGGGGGAAAAGGAAACAGGTGTAGCCGATCCTAACCTAGCAAGCTAAAACCACATGTACTTTATAGTGTGGCCCGCGTCAGCTGCCTCCCCAGGAACTGCCCGTTTGGAGACCTTTGTGATTCTAAGGAGGCTGATCCCAGGCTTTCCCCGATGTAGAATGAACAAATTAGCATATACCATCCTTCTGGCCACAGTGATTGGTTAGGGGTGGGCATGTGACCCAGGATGGCTTAATCAGAGTTAATCTTGATGCTTCTGCTAAGATTCCTGGCACAAAGATGTTCCCTTTTCAGGTTGGATATAAATGAGAAAACGTGTAATCCCAGGAGTGCTGGCAGCCATGAGGTGGCCCAGGTTTAAAACGATCCTATAGAAGGCAGCAGCAGGGGGGGGGAGATCAGGTATTTAGAAACGGGTTGAGCCACCGCATCAGCTCTCCCTGGAGCCAGTACTACTTCTGGACTTCACGGTTACGTGAGCCAGGAAGTCTTAATTTTTAAGCCAGTTTGTAAGGTTTTCTTTGATTTAAAACCGAAAGATTCCTAGCCGATACATTCATCATACTTACTCCATCCCTATCCTCCCACAGGATAGCAGAGATCCAGGTAAGACAGTCACTACATTTATCAAGGACTCTAAAGCCAAGGGTATTGAGCTGGAAACATCAGAGGCAGGAGCCAGACACTGTGTAAGACAAGGGGGCCTCAGCAGTCTCTACAGGAGAATGAACTGCCTTAGGAAAAGAAGAGCCAAATGAGAAGCAAGTGCAGAGAAGGGCCTCTACTAGGCAGGTAGAGTTAATGTGAATATAAACACTTTTCCCCACGTACCTATCAAGGGGGTGTTGCTTGGGGGTCTTTCCCTTCATGGGATAAGGAATTCTGAAGCACGTGCCCTTTTAAGTCTTTATTACCCTGTGCTGCGGTGTCTACCTCTCCCTTTGGAAGAGCCTCCTTTTGGCTTCTACTGCCCTTGATGACACTCACTTTTGAGGTGACCAGAGGAATTTTATCTTCTGCTTCTTTGGCATGCCGGGAACTGGGGCCCTTTCCTCCTCTGGAAACACCATCTTCCTGATCCCGGGCAAGCACCATCCCCTTCTCAGCCCCTCCCACTGGCCCTGGTCTCCCTGACCCTCTGGCAGAGTTGCTCTCCCCTGCAGAGGCCCATGTCTCCCGTGGTAACTGGCAGGGCTGGGCAGAGTCCACGGCAGCTGCTGACTTGTCAGGGGTAGAGTTCCTTTCCCTACTTCCACCTGATTTTTTTCGAGGGCGCCCCCGTTTTCTTTTGGCATCACTTCCTGTATCCTCTATATCCTGCTTTGCTGCTTTAGCTGGTGGATCCTGCCCAATGGCCTCACTCACAGGTACTTCTGCTGATCTCTTGACACCTTTGTCATGGGGTCCTGGGTCACCACCTATGCCTACCTCCCTGTTCTCTGTGCCTCGTGGCTGAGCAAGCACCCCAGGTAGGGCTTGCCCAGGCCCAGGCCCAGGCCCAGGCCCAGGCCCGGGTCCAGGCAAAGCAGGAACAGCTGGTAAGATCATGTTAATGATGGGCACAGCTGCCTGGGGTCCCCCAGCCCTACTGGGCAGAGCCACTTTCAGAGGGCCTGAAGAAAGCTTGGGGGCCAGGATGGGGGGAGAGACTTGGAGTGGTGGAATAAGTGAGCGAGGGGCCCGGGGAAGGAGCAGAGGCAGCCGGGCCACCAGGGCATTAACCTGTGGGTTACTGGCTGCTGGGGCTGGGCTCTCCACTACACTCTTCTTCCGCTCTCCACGTGCAGGAGGGCCAGCCCCAGCACGGGGTTCCGGCTCCTTAGGTGGCTAAAAGGTAAAGAGAGGACACAACTAGTTAAGTGGGAAGACTGGACACTGGAGTCAACACAGGCATAGAAGGGTGAGAAAATATGGGGAAAGGGATACCAAAAGCCCCCAGCCCAAGGCAGCAAGGTCAGGGGCATCAACTTCCTTACCTGGGCTGGTCTCTCTGGTTTCTTATGGGCTCCACCCTCTAGGCTCTCAACACCATTCTTGGATTTAGAGGACCGCTCCCGAGGGGCATGTTCATCGTCATCTGTGGAGGTGCAGGAAAGGTAGTAAGGCGAGGGCGAGGAGGAAACAATGGACAAGTGAGGCAACTCTGACTGGTGGAGAAGGAGGAAGAAGGCGGTCTAAGGCATGACCTAATGTCCTATAAGGGCCACTAGAAATAGAAAGCAAATGCAAGGTGTCTCTACCCTAGCAGCTGGGAGGGCCTATGAAGTTGAAAGTGGCATAGAGTTTCTCAGGACTTGAGAGATGATGGTCCACCCACCAGCGAGCCCCACTGCCTTGAGTACGTGGGCAGGGGCAGACCGGGCAGAGATGAGGTGCTGCTGCAGGAGGAAGCGGGCGACTTCAACGATGGAACTGAAGGATCGTTTCAGGATTCGTTCTGCCCAGTCACAGGTCAGAGCACAGGCTGCCTCAACCAGTTCGTCCCGGGGTGCTGGGGTTACTTCTGGGCCCATTTCTGGCTGCAGTGGGGAAGGACATGCCCAATCACACCCCACCTTGGCCCCTCTCAGACACCAGTGTCAACCACAGCAAGACCAGACTGCAAATGGGAGTAACTCGCCCCAGGAACCCAAAAATTCTCTTCACCGTCTGCCTGAGCCATCGGGTAGGTAAAGGGAATATCCTATACACCCAGAAGCTATATGCAGAATGACCTAGGCTGTGTCACCCTTCACTTCGGAGAGAAGAATGCAATCGGAGGGTTGTTTGTTACTTACACTCTCAGAGCCCTTCAGGTCAAGTCCAGGTAAGGGTGGCATAGACACCAAGGTCTTCCTTCGTATGCCACTGTAGCAATATCTGAGACAAGTTAAAGAGCAGCCAACAATGGGGATCTCCAAGCCCCGTGGGAAGGTTAGGCTGTTTCTACTCCTGGCCCTCCACACCCTAAGTTTTCCTCCCCAGGTCCATCCTCCAGCCCCAACCTCTCCACTCAAGGATACTTGGACTGGCCTCGGCCACCAAGCCTTCGGGCCTTGATGTCAGGGAAGATCTCTCTGATGATTTTGCCAAAGTTGGCGGTGCTGAGTGGGCGGCAACAGGCAAGACTCTCACAGTACTTCCTAAGTGGGGGGAGGGGGCAAAGAGGGAAGATACTTAGACACCAGTGAGTATCTGAATCATGGGTAGATTCGGAGGGTCCCTGGCATCAAGTATGGGAAACCCCTTAACAAGTCAGTGGGGCTCTATCAAGGCAGGGAGCTCTCCAGGAGTGAGGGAGTAGTCCTAGCCCACCAACCCACACCCCAGCCCCCCATTCACCCACCGATAGGCATCATAAACACTTTGCTTTGGCAAACAGGTGTCAGTATGCTCTTCTAGATGGTTGCGGATCCATCGATAGGCATACATGTACTCCTCATTGCTAAGTGTACTTGGCTCTGAGCTGCAAGAGAAGTAAAAGGGACACACCTTACTAAGATCCTAATAGTTGGCTGTGGTTCTCAACAGACTACCACTTCAGCAGTGCTGGACCAAATCACTCGGCCCGGAATCCACCTTTTCCAGGTAAACCAGGACAGCACATTTCCTTCTTTATCAAGCGGTTATGAGTATTCCTAGTCACCCAGCCCCATCTCAGTGAGCCTTCCTTTAAGAACCAGAACCTCTGACGCCTTCAACTGTAGCACCAAACCTACCTTTTGTCTCCAGTACTGGGTCCTGAGGGGAGCTGAAGGTAGAGATACAGCTTGTCGTTGTCTGAGAATTTCTGTACATCTTGCTGAGGTTGGGAGGAACAGAGGCAAGGGAAAAAAAATAAGGCCAAGAAGGACCCAAGGTAGGATCTTCTGATCCTTCCCCCCAAATTGGGCTGCCTTAGAGACTGTCAGAGTGAAAAAGGACCTTAGAAATGATCTGGCGCTGGGTTCTCACTCTATCTGAGAGGCACCTAGGTGAGCTACCATGGTGAGAGGGGAGTGGAGGGGATCGGCTTTGATTTTATTCCTACTGAGTGTCTATACCACAGGTCACAGAGAGATGAACTAAGATGCTCAAGGTCAAACTGGCAGCAAGTTGCAAAGCCAATTATCTTCTGACGGGGAAGACAACACTGCTTGTCCCACAGAAACCTTTCACTTAGGCATACCCTCTTCCTCCTCCTCCCCGCTGCACCAACTCCATCTCTCTACTGCCCTCTTCCCAAAAACACTCACCAGGATCCCCTCGACTTTGTTCTGCACGGCCTTGCTGTGGAGGAGAGGAGAAAGCTGGAGGTCACACACAAGATTTTCCCTGGTGTCTTACTGTTAGGGAGAGGAAGAGGGCTGAGAGGCCTGACAGGTGCTCAGCAACAGCTACCATGATGGAGAATCTCCCAGTGCTCACAGGCACTTGCTCAGGGAGAGCCAGTTCATCTACAGAGGAAGTGAAGTGCTACGGTTCTGGAGCAAGACTTGGAGGTGGTGAGGAGTACTTACGAAATGGTACCTCGGAGCCTCTGAAGAAGGGTGGTGGGTTCTCCCGCCTCAGCACTACCTGAGGGGGGCCGTCCCCCAGTCTTGGGGCTCTTAGCGTCGGGTTCATCTTCTGCCATCCCGGCATGAGGGCTAGAGTTGAGAGGAGACACGACAGGAAGATTCAACCTCCCTTCCCCTGGAGCCACCCCACCGCTCCCCAGGCGCTCCTCGTCTCCCTACCCAGAAACACAGAGAAACAGAAAGCCTCTGAATGTCCTCAGTGGTCTTTTTTTCTCACCACTTGCCTTCTCCCCAAATTAGAAATGATCCCATTACTTCTCCAGGCCCATATATACCCAAAGAGATCTCTGCCACCTCCATTCTATCTGCCCCCCCCCCCCCTTCCTGCAGTCTCCTGAGTGTGGAAAACTGTACAGGAAGAGATAGGCGGGTTGGGAATCCACGTTAGAAATGTCCATTTCTGCCTCTGGCCCCGTCCCGCCCTCACCCCCTTAAAAAACCAAAAACAAGAACCACCACAAAACAAAGTTCTCCGATTCTCCTCACGCCTGAATTTTCCTGGGAGGTCAGAAAGGATACGAACATACTCTGCCCTTGCAGGCTTGGAAAAAACTGGGCCCAAGTTCTCATTACTTAATCTCGCCACGGCTTCCCCCGCGGCTCCCCCTCCCCACGTCGCCGGTCCCTACGTCATCTCCCTCAACCTCCCATCCTGAGGCGCACCCCCACCTCCCTCCCTTCCCCCTGCATTCAATCCCGCGTTGCTGCAAGGTGGGAGGCTTCAGGGGGGCGAACTCCTGGGCTGGGCGTAGGAAACCCGGTTGGGGGAACGGGGTCCCGGATTCGGGGCACGTGCACATGGGCGAAGGAGCTGTTGAAAATACGGCCACAATCTTTTTCTGCTCTCCTCCCAACTCATACTGTCCCCTCCCTACCTTTGAACAGTCGCCTTCCAACACAAGCAACAATAAAGGTAAGGGAGAAAGAGAAACTACCTCGTAGCCACCTTCACTCCAGCCCAGCCCCACGGTCCTGGCCCAGCGGGCTCGTGCGTTGCTTTATTTTCTTTTTTCTGAGTGGCTGGAGCAGTCCCGATCTGCCTAGAGACTCGCGCGGCCTGTTCTCTCATTGGTCGTTGCGGCCACCCGGAGACAGAAGGCGCCGGGCTCGCACCGGCGGCTGCTAAAGTCTGCCTGGTAACAGATTCTGATTGGTCAATAGGGGAGGGAAAATCCAAAGTTGGTCTTATTTGAGTGAAGAGGGGGAAGTCCGGGTTAGGTTTCGGTTAAAACTGGGGTCGGTTGGGACTGCCGGTCCCGAGAGGTTCTTCTCTTAAAGGGACCGCAGGACGAAAGGCCGGGCGCTGGGCTCCCTTTGGAGCTTTCTTTTCCTTTGCCCTCGTCTTCAGGGTTTCAGTTTTGCCTTCGGTTGTCAGAGCAACTGGAAGAAAAGAATCAGTGGCTGATAAAATAACTGGAAAATTATGGGTAGTAGTGATGGAGGTTCGCTGAAAGTTCACACCACCTCCTTTTGATGAAAAATAAGTTGAACACCCCACCCTCCGACCCCCGCCCTCAACACAGCCTACAGGCATTCACAGCAAATCTGCAAACACGGGCTCACGTTGCTCTCTGATGGAGGCCTCAAAATCTCAGCAGCTGTACCACATTAAGTTAAAATGCCAAGCGTTTCTTGGTTTCCCGTGGGTATTTTATTTCCTTCCGAAGAGTTGCTAATGTATTTGCATACCTGTAGTTCTGCACTCGGGGAACACTGGAATTTTGACTGACACCCCCAGGGGGTGCTGGATGCCCACATGAACTCTTGAAGAGAACATTGTGCTGAATAGGCCATGGGTTGTTAACCTTTCGGTTACGGCTTTGTTTAGATCGCGAGTCAAATGAAAGCAGTGGACCCTCTGCTATGAAAAATGCACGTGAGGACTAAGTTTTGCATCTAATTTCAAAGGTAAGGGACTGCAGGTTAACGATTTTTTGAATGGATGTATTTTGTTTGGCACAACGGATACGTTACACCTAAAACTGTATTTGGAGTCCTGACTTCTAATACATTCTCTAGTCTCATCATCAGTGTACTTTTGTAAGGAGGACAGCAATGATGCCTGATCTTGTCACCTTTGCCCTTTTTAGCCTCCATTTATCTACTACTAGCTTCTGTGGGTACTGGGAGAACCCAGGGAATTGCAGAGTTTGGGGGAATAAGGATATAGTGGCAAGACGGTTTTCTAATAACAGCAAAAATGTGTCTGATGTTTACTGTGTGCTAGACACCATACCAAATGCTAAACACCTCATTTAATGCTCCTGGCAGCTCTTTGAGGAAGGTACTTACCGCCTCCGTTTTCCAGGCAAAGAAACTGGGATTTGGAGAAGTGAAGGGACTTGTCCACAGTTACATATGTAGTTAAGTGCTGGAATCAGAATCCAAAGGCAAGCAGTCCGCCTTCAGAGCCCATTCTCTTGAACACTGTCCTAGGCCGTGTAGATACATATTCGTAGATATTCATATACAAATATGGATATAGACTGATGGAAAGGTACCCCCAAACACCACGGTTTGGTATGAAGGGAAATATAGAGCACTTGATTGGAAAAAGAGTTTGGGATAAATTATGCCAGCTTAGGAATTCGCAGGTGGTGGGGAATAAATGGAAATTTCAGGAAAGAGAGAAAAAGTATCATAGCTCTGTAAAGGAGATTATTTTGACACCACTGTAGAAGGTGAGGTTGTGTAGGGGGAGAGACTTGAGATGGGGAAAAAAGGCAGGTATTCATTTATGCCAGGCATTGCGCTAAGGGCTAGGGATATAAAGCTGAATGAGGTATGATGTACCTTGCCCTGAGAAGTAACAATAAAAATTATCTGGTAAGCATCACCACAGTAATAGCAAGAACTTATATAGAGTTTAATATGTGCCGAGGATTCCTCTAAGGGCCTCCCAGATGTTGCCACTTTATCTCATAGCAAGTCTAGCCGATAGGTACTGTGATTATGCCTATTTTACAGATGAGAAGACTGAGGCATTGAGAGGTTAATAATTTGCCCAATGTCACACAGTAAGTGAGAGAGCCAAGATCTGAACCTAGGCTATCTGGATTCAGAATTTGCTCTAAACACTATTGTACAATGCCTACTAATATTGGGAGTGAATTTGTTGAACATTAGAAAGCAAACCATAAAAGAAAAGATGGATAAATTTAGATACATTAATATTAAAAACTTAAATTTATTTTTAAAACCACTATGAAAAGTATATAAAATCAAGCCACACGTTGGGAGAAGATACTTTCAAGACATATAACTGACAAAGGATTATTATCTGGAATTTATAAAGGCCTTCTACAAATAAAAAGATAAATAGCCAAATCAAAAAATGGGCAGAGAAGATCAACAGGAATTTCAAGAAAGAAGCAGAAATGGTTCATAGACATATGAAAAGGTGTTCACTCTCTATAGTAATCAAGAAATTCCAAATTAAAACCACGATAAGATGCCATTTCATACCCACTAAATTGGCAACAATTCCAAAGTCTGCCAATGCTGAGAGCTGACACGGCTGTGGGCCCAGAGGAGCCCTCACCCACTGCTGGTGGGGACGTGGTTTGCTGTAATCATTTTGAAAGAGTTTGGAATTACTTGATAATGTCGAATATGGAAATATTTTATAATTCAACAATCCTACTCCTACAAACATGCCTTGAAGACAGAGGCAGTAGGATTTATAGTTTCACTGTTTGCATTAGCAAAACCTGGGAACCCCAATGTCCATCAACAGTAGAGTGAAAAGTTGTGGTATATTCATACGATGGAATGTCATAGGGCAGTGGGAATGAATGAGCCACAGCCACATGCATCTACAAGGACGAATCTTTAGAAACCGTGAAAGAACTATAACACGGAAGAGAACATACAGTACGATGCAATTTGCAAAATTTGATGGCAGGCAAAACTGCATTAATATATTGTTTATGGATAAATACATATGTGGTAAAGAGTAAGAGTAATAGAATTATTACCATAAAAGTAAAGATATAACTTACCTTCAGTGAGCAATGGAAAAGAGTTTTGGGAATGTTTCTTCAAGAGCCAATCGACAATGTCTTCCATAGGATCTAATTTAATTTGTTTGTTTTCCAAATAGACGGACAGTCTTTTCAAAATATTTATCATTTCCTTCTTCTTCTTCTTTTTTTTAAAGACTTAATTTTTTTAAGCAATCTCTATACCCAATGTGGGACTAGGGCTCACAACCCAGAGATCAAGAGTTGTGTGCTCCACCAACTGACCCAGCCAGGCGCCCCTCATTTCCTTCTTGTTATAGCTTTCCTTTCATACTCTTATCAGGTGCTAAGTTCCCTTTTTTTATGTTTATTTTTATTTTATTTATTTATTTTTATCTTTGAGAGAGAGAGAGAGAGAGAGAGAGAGAGCGCGCATGAGCAGGGAAGAGGGGCAGAGGAAGAGAGAGAGAATTTCAAGCAGGCTCCACTGGGATCATGACCTGAGCTAAAATCAAGAGTCGGACACTCAACCAATTGGGCCACCAGGTGCCTGCTAAGTTCCCTTTTTTAGTTGGGTCTGTTTCTGGACCTTCTTCTTTTCTATTGACTCTATTTGTCTATTCCTCCACGCGTAACACACTGGGTTTTTTGTTTGTTTGTTTTTAAGTAGGCTTCACACCCAGCGTGAAGCCCAACGCAGGGCTTGAGCTCACAACCCTGAGATTAAGACCTGAGCTGAGATCAAGAGTCAGACACTTCAACCGACTGAGCCCCCAGGTGCCCCAAATAATACACTGTTTTAATGTAATTATGTAGTATGTTTTGCTATCTAATGCTGAACATTTTCCACCCTAAGTTTCATTAATTAAAATAGTTGTGTCTACATATGGAAGATTATATTTTCCAAATGCAGCCACAACAGTATTGCTGGTTTCACAGACTATTCCAGGACCTTGCCACTTCCCCATCAAGAGATGGAATCTATTTCCTGTCTCCCTGAATCTGGGAAGGCCTTTGTGACTATCTCAGTGAATGGAATGCAGTGAAAGTGATGCTGTGTGACCTCCAAGTCTAGGTCAGAATAGCTGGTACAGTTTCCTCTTTGCTGTCTCTTGGGACACTCACCCTTGGGACCCAGCCACCATGTTGTGAGGAAGCCAAGCAGCCACATGGAAAGGCCATGTGTAGCTCATAACCCCAGCCAATGTCCTGGGTGACAGCCAGCGTCAATCATTGGACATGGAGTGAGTGAGCCACTGGATGATTCTAGCCTCTAGTCTTTAAACTGCTCCAGCTGACACTGAATGTAGTCCCCATAGAGACCTGTCCAAATTACAAATTTGTGAGAAAAAGTAGTGTTGCCATTGGTTTAAGTCATTATGTGTTGGGGTGGTTTGTTATCCAGCGATAGATGACTGGAGCACTATGCCTTTATATTTCCCGCTTAGTTCTAGAAACAGCTTAGAAATTTCGTACATAACCCTCATCCCTCTAGGACAACACATTCTGGTAAGTATGCTCCATACCCATTTCATGTTCTTACAAACCCAGGTCCACCCAATCCAAGGTTTTTGTTCAATTTTTTCCTAAAAATGGGGAATATAGGGACGCCTGGGTGGCTCAGTCGGTTAAGCATCCAGCTTCAGCTCAGGTCGTGATCTCACAGTTCATGAGTTCGAGCCCCACGTCGGACTCTGTGCTGACAGCATGGAGCCTGGAGCCCACTTCGAGTTCTTTGTCTCCCTCTCTCTCTGCCCCTGCCCTGCCCCTGCTCACCCTCTCTCTCTCTCTCTCAAAAATAAATAAACATTAAAAAAATTTTTAATGGGGTTATACTATTCTCTTATATATATAACTCTGCAACTTAATTTGTTTACTTAACATAATGTTGTACATATTCCTCTAAGTCAGGTAGTGTTTAGAGCAGAGAGTTTGCTAGGCCTCAAAAATCAGTAAGTCAGGAAAGAGACTCCCAGTAGGGTGCCA